TGCTAAAAGCATGGTTGGCGCCTTTGAAAGAACACTGGGTTTGCATATTTCCTTTACTAATCACTTTCAGAAACTGATTGTTAGCTGCTTTTCAGCTGTTAGGAACTCTTAGACTGAAACATTTTACAGCATTGGATGAGTTTCCTTGAATCTTTAGAAAGAGAAAATTTAAATACAGCTAGTTCTCGACTTACAACTGATTAGCAACCATTTGAAGTTACAATGGACCTCCCCAAGGCTACTTATGATGCAGTACCCCCTACTCAGCTACCAGCCTGCTTTTATGTCTATTCACCATGACCCTGTTTTATGACATTTTATTTTGCTGGAAACCAGCATTTACTTCCGGTTTCCAGTAAAAAAAACCTTCCACTGAGGACAACAAATCATAAGTCAAGGACTAACTGTTCAAGTTTACGGAGTTAAAAATAATGGAATAAACAGCAACAAATGAAAAAGTAATTTTCATTTTAGAAAGTTACAAATGGACTAAGGGTACAGATAAATTTGAAATAAGATCTTGGAATTAATTATAAAGAATCCTTCTTTATTATTTTTAAAAACATAATTATTTTTAAAAACATAATAAGATAAGCCTTTAAAAACTGGACACTAGAAAGAACTAGAATTAACTAAATATTACCATTAAAGCAGTGGTGAAATTCAATTTTTTTTTTCTAACGGTTATGTGGGCATGGTAGGGGAAGGATACTGCAAAATCTGCATTCCCACCCCACTCCAGGGGAAGGATACTGCAAAATCTCAATTCCCACTCCACTCTGGGGCCAGCCAAAGGTGGTATTTGCCGGTTCTACGAACTACTCAAAATTTCCGCTACCGGTTCCCCAGAACCTGTCAGAACCTGCTGAATTTCACCCCTGTGTTAAAGGAGAAAAATACTCAGATTTAGCCTACAAATACAGAAGAAAGCAAAACATTTTTACATTGAACATGTTAAAATGTATTTTGACCCAGAAGTTGAAGAGGTTTGCCTGTGTTTAAAAGATGTTATGAAGTAAAGTAGATTGAAAGTAGATTTTAAAAAGACAGGCTATAAGAATGACATTGAAAAACATGTTTCATTGAACATACAAAAGAAACTAGCTGATATGTTAATAATTAAAAATAATTAAATACAAATAATAAACCAAGAGACTGATCTGAATAATTTTCCTATTAAAAAATGAAAAGATATCAAGCTTCAGGATATTATTTAAAGGAATTAAAATTAAGATAAAATTAAGAGCTGGGCTGACGCAGTGGTTAGAATGCGGTACTGCAGGCTATTTCAGCTAGTTTCTTTCTGCAGTTCAGCAGTTCAAATCTCACCAGCTCAAGGTTGATTCAGCCTTCCATCC